AGGTAAGAAGAAGACAGGTAAGAAGCAGACAGGTAAGAAGCAGACAGTAAGAAGCAGACAGGTAAGAAGTAGACAGGTAAGAAGAAGACAGGTAAGAAGCAGACAGTAAGAAGCAGACAGGTAAGAAGCAGACAGTAAGAAGCAGACTGTAAGAAGCAGACAGGTAAGAAGCAGACAGTAAGAAGCAGACTGTAAGAAGCAGACAGGTAAGAAGCAGACAGTAAGAAGCAGACAGGTCGGCTGATCCGAGCTCAGCCTGAAACGGAACCATAACTCAAAACTCCTCGAGTCAGCTGCTGAAATAAAAGTTTGTCTCTGCAGAAGAGGAGCAGAACCAGTGGAGCTGCTGGTTCGGGTCTTACCTTGAGACCGCACCGGTCCTGGCTGGTCCTCCTGCCTGCGGACGGAGACCCGACAGAAAAATATAGAAGTAAAAATAAAACGTAGAAACCGAACAGAGAGGCGGAGAGGCTCCGAGGAGACGCCATGCCTTCCTCCCGGAGGTCTGAACAGCTCTGAGGAGGAGGTGCCGGCGGTGGTGGAGGAGGAGGAGGAGGGGGAGGAGGAGTGTGTGCGCGTGTCTCCCGTTGTCGTCTCTTCCGGGTTGTGCATGAGAGGAAGTGGCACCAAAAGTGAAAAAAAGGAAAAGGAAAAAAAAGAGGAAAATCTAAAAATACTGCAGTTAGGATCATTTTTAGTTTTTCTTACTGTAAACAAAAACAACAACAAATTATTTTTATAGTAAAAAAAAAAAGTCTGAACAAATCACTTTTGTATGACAGCTTATTTAGAGTGGTGAGCACAGCTAACCAAAAAGTTAGCTTTGCTAACGATAAATAGGTTTTAAAAAAATTAGCACAAGTTAACACGTAGCAGGCCAATAGCGTGTCTTCAGCTAGCTGTTGTTGACCAATCATGTCTTGTCACGTGAACACGTAGTAAGCCAATAGCACGTCTTCAGCTAGCTGTTGTTGACTAATCATGTCTTGTCACGTGAACACGTAGTAAGCCAATAGCGTGTCTTCAGCTAGCTGTTGTTGACCAATCACGTCTTGTCACGTGAACATGTAGTAAGCCAATAGCGTGTCTTCAGCTAGCTGTTGTTGACCAATCACGTCTTGTCACGTGAACACGTAGTAAGCCAATAGCGTGTCTTCAGCTAGCTGCTGACCAATCATGTCTTGTCACGTGAACACGTAGTAAGCCAATAGCGTGTTTTCAGCTAGCTGTTGACCAATCATGTCACGTGAACACGTAGTAAGCCAATATATAGCGTGCCTTCAGCTAGCTGCTGCCACGTCGACCAATCACGTCTTGTCACGTGAATCTTGTCAGCGTGCCTAACGGACTCTTCACGGTACGCCCACAACAGACAGGAACAAGATTTCGTATTTTCTTAGCGATTTAAAGTTTGCGAAACCTAATTTATTGGAAGCTAACTCCGCTAATGGTTTCTAAAGGTAGCAAAAATGCTAATCCGCTAAACGAAAAATTAGATCTGCTGTTAGTAGATTAGCAGATTAAGTGCGCTACCACTGCTCATTTATGATAAAACAGCACTGTTTTCTGTCAACGTGCGTACGAAAGATTTAAACAAAGGCGTTCAGTGATCATGTCATCTGTTCACTTCAGTTTATTTATAAAGCATCGACTCTCAACAAGTCGTCTCGGGGAACTGCACAAAGACATTCAGACACCATAAAACACCAGTCGGTAAAAGTTTCCTCTGTGAAGCCAGCAGAGAGAGTTGAATCTCCACTTTGTGGCATCCTCTCATTCTGAGCAGCAAATACATGAACACACAACAGCAAGTAAGAACTGGATGAATCGACAAGACGCCTTAAATAAGATGTCCAAGTTGCATTTTATTTTTAATTCACCAACACCAACGTTCTGTTTGTTTACAAGGAGGAGGCGGGGCTTTAAACTTCTAGTGAAATCTGTCAACAGGGGAGGTTGACCCTGTTGCAACTTCAACTTCCTGGTTTTTATACTTCAACTTCCTGGTTTAAGTTAGAGGTCTATCGATACACAGTCTGTTGTTGGGGATGACTGTCTGCTACTACCACAGCAAATCTTAGCTCAATGTCTGTGAACCTTTCTGTATTAGCTACTGTTTTTATCTTTAGGCGATCTTCTTGAACTGAAATGACTCTAGTTATTCATCCAAAAATTTGGTTTACTGTACTTCAAAATATATTCAGAGTTTCAGAAGATATTTTTCTGACAAATAGACAAACACACATTTTCACCCAGATTTCATTTCAGCTGACAATCATGTTTTTACAGTTGAACATTTGCATTTTACTGCATTCTGTCATTTAGGACAATGACAGACAGACTGAAAGACAGACAGACAGAGACTGACAGACAGATAGACAGAGAGACAGGTCATATAAAGTTAAAACTTTTTGTTTGGCTCCCTCTAGTGGTCAAATCAAACTTGAGATCTGCTGAGTAAATGATTTCTGTTTTTGTTCACAGTAAAAAAGGTCCTCCATTTTTAAGAAACTGCTTTTTTTTTTTTTTTACATTTTTGTCATTTTATTGACCTACTTTATTAAATGATGTGTTTTTTTTAGGGGTTATTAATATCATTGTTAGTTTTTTGTATAAAAGAATAATCATAATATTAATCAATATTAATAGATAACGGAACTAATTTGTATACTAAAATTTTGTTTGTGTTGTTATTAAAGTCATTAATTATGATTTAAAAAAAACTTCTTTCTGACTAGTATAAAACATTTTAGCTGTTTATATATCAAAACGTTCTGTTTATTTAGGAGATGGATGTTGTGATTTTTGGTTTTGTAAGTTTTGTACTTTTCAAAGTTTTTACATTTATTTAAAATAAAATTACACATAAAAATACAAAGAGATTTATTCAATCCTTGTTTTCTTTAAAATCTGCTTCATATTGACTCTTGTTATATTATTTGTAGCTTTTAGCTAATACTCTGCTATTTTTATCGTTTAGCTGATCTACTGCTACTTTTAGCTTCTCTATGTACTCATTTGGCTTTTAGGCCGCATTTTACCTTTTTAAATATTTTAGCCAGTCTTTTGTTGTTTCGCTACTGTTTTGCTACTTTTAACTTTACCACATTTAGCCATCATTCTGATAATTTAACCTTTTAGCATTTTTAATTCGTAGCAAACACTTTTAGCTTCTGATTAGCTTTTTGTTGTTGTTTTTTTTTTTTAGCTTCTTGTGCCCCCTTTGACGCCGATAGTTTTTAGCTAGCATATTGCTATTTTTAGTTCTCTCTTGTGTGTTGCTTCTCTAGCTTTTAGCTAGTCTTTTTGTTACATATGGCTACCCTTAACAAAAAGTAGTACATTTGAAGTTTATTTAGTATACTTTAAGTTAAGTATAAGTATATCAAATGTACTACACACCATACCTGTAGTGTACTAGAAGTATACTGATTTAATACTTGTTTGGACTAAATTGGGACATTTTTATACTATTTTTAAGTATATCAAATAAAGTTTATAAAAAGTAAACTTCAAGTACACTTCCTCATTTTTAGTGTAAAATAAGTACACTTGTAGTACACTTAAATGAACTAGTTTATTCTAACTAGCCTTTTGCTACTAATAGCTATATTTTTAAAAACTTTTAGCTTTCAGCTAGCCTTTTTCTATATTCACCAAATGTTTTGCTACATTTACTTAGCCCTTTGCTAATACCATTTTGATTATTTTAGCTATTAAGCAGCCTTTTGCTACTTTTAGCTTTTTTGCTAGCATTTTACTACTTTAACTTTCAGCCAGGTTTTTGTTTCTTTTAGCCTTTTTGTAAAATAATTATGCTTTTAGGTAGAGTTTAGCCATTTTTTAGTTTTTAACTAGCTTTTTGTTTCATTTAGTTTTTAGTTAGAGATTTGCTTGTAGCTAAAGTTTTGCTAGTTTTAGCTTCAAACACATTCTCATCTTGTTCAGCACATTTCAGCTGACATTCAGCTCTCAGCATTCGGTCTGTGTTTTAGCAGAAAATTTGGTTTTTAATTTAATTTATTTATTTAGTATTTCATTCAAACATTAAAAGAACTTCTTTCGAAAATAAACAAGTTTGTTTTCACTTTATTGCCAATATTTGAACCAAAACAAGAAGTTGTTGCTGGTTCTGATTTATTTACTTATGAAAAGCTTCAGAGTCGGACCAGGAGCCGAACATTTCAGGAGCCGAACATTTCAGGAGCCGAACATTTCAGGAGCCAAACATTTCAGGAGCCGAACATTTCATGCCCAAACGTTGTCACTACGAGCAGCAAAATGGACAAACGTGACGTCAGTTCTCTGACTCTGGCGGCCGACAGAGAGAACTTGAAGAGGAGCGTGAGCCATCAGGCACTCGCCGCCATAGCCGAACTTCATTCGGAGGAGAAACTGTGTGACGTGGTGCTCAGGGTCGGTGACGTTGAGCTAAAAGCTCACAAGATCATCCTCTGCAGCTGCAGCTCGTACTTCAGGTGAGTTGGAGACCCGAGGCTTTTGATTCGTGTTTGGGTCAAACGTTTGATGGATTTGAAGCATTTTGATTAAAAAAATGTTCTTGTTGTGAGACAACTTGAAGTCTTTGAGGCGTTTTAGCTGCGGGTTGAGCTTAAACACCCATTTAAAGAACATTTTAATGCCTAATTCATGCTCTAAACTTAATTATAACTACAATAATCAAGCAGCAATAATGGCATTCCTTTTTTTGTTTTTATTCTAAATAAATTAATTCAGTTTGTATTGAATCATGTATCCGGGGTTGCTGCAGCACCCTGTGCGCCCATACTTCCCACAGCTTTTCATGGGAGAGACGACTTGTTTCCATTTGGGACACGTTTTAGAAAAGAGCAATAACTTATATTTTATAGTTTTAAAAATGTAAATGAGCCTGAACTAGAAGGCTGTGGTTGTTCAGTGGTCAGTGCCATGGTCTCGTAATCCTGCAGCCGCAGGTTCGAGCCCCGGTTGCTTCAGGAAGGACATCAGGTGTAAATCTTGTTTTTTTGTGACATTTACAAACTGGTGGTTGAATTTATCTGTAAAGATGAGGAGTATTTACTGTTTTCTACATGATCTGTACAAAAACCCTGATGGGTCTGAGTTAAATTAACAAACAGTCATTTAAAGATGTGGAGACTGTGTTGGAAACATGACTTTTTAAATTAAAACACAGAAAATTCACATATTTAAACAAAAATAAATGAGAAGTTTAAGACGTCGAAGTGTTTATTTTGTGTTTTTATCGGTGTAAGAACCAGGGGAGCAGAGGTGTACGTAAACATTTATTACTCGTACTTTACTGTAACTTATTATATTGAACATTTCTGTACAGAATTATCTCATTAAACATGCATTTTATGAATTATTTCACATTATTTTCTGCTGGTTGCACAAACCTTTTAATTTTTTTTTCTAGGTTATGTTGATCTAGATTGTTACGGAGGACTCAAAGTGCCATAATTCACAATAAATTCAAAAATAAATAAACATCTCAATTAGGGATGCACGATATTATCGGCATGGTATCGGTATCGGCCGATATTCACGATAAAGTTAATACATCGGCCACTCCATCAAAATAACTCACTGATATAAAAGGTGTAAAAAATTACAAATTTGCACTGTTCGAGTTTTGTCTTTGTGTTAGAGAGAGTAAATAAAAAAAAAATAATATAATTTTTAAAAAAGTGTCACTTTGTACGCATCCTTCATGATTGTCTATTGTTGTCGTTGTTGTCCATTGTTGTCATCACTCTTTGTTAAAACCAGGTCTCTCTTGTAAATGAGTCCCTGAGGCTCAATGGGATTAACCTGTCTAAATAAAGGTTGAATGAAAAAAAAGTCATGAATAAATTTGACATTAAACATAATCCAAGTTGAAGTGTTTCATCATTTTCATTCACCTTTTTGGCATCTACATTTGGTAGCAGGCCAGACTGACAAAGACCATGCAGAATAATGTAGTATTTAATTCCACAGAAGAGAAAGCTCTGTAGTTTCTGTAAGTAGGTCTAGGGGAAATATTGGTATCGGTTATCGGACAAATAAGTTTTAACATATCGTCCAAAAATCCAATATCGTGCACCCTCAGTCTCAGTAATGGTCGTTTCCTTGAGGTAAACTCTGAAAATAAATAATCTGAAAAGATTTCCTCTTTGTGAAGCCGAGATGAACGAGGTGTTCCACGCTTGGTTTTTATTTTTATTTTTGTTTGTGAGTTTGGGCTCATTGTAAATCCTTTGATCCACAGCACCCTTTTCACCAGAACCTGGGCCAGCTCGGACCAGCGCACCTACACGATCCCCGGGGTGTCTGCTGAGATGATGCGCCTCATCATCACCTACGCCTACACCCACACTCTTCCCCTGACGGAGGACAACGTGGTGGACGTGCTGGAAGTCGCGGACCAGTTCCTGATCCCGGGGCTGGTTCAGGCCTGCTGCTTCTTCTTGGAGGACCAGCTGTGTCTGGAGAACTGCGTCGGCATCTGGAGGCTCGTGAGCTTCTTCCACTGCCCCGCCTTCACGTCGCAGGTGCTCATGTTCATCGTGCACCACTTCGAGGAGATAGTGTCCGTGTCCGAGGAGTTTCTGGACCTGTCGGAGCTTCAGCTCGCCGCCATCGTTGAGAGCGACCATCTGAACGTGCAAGGAGAGAGCGTGGTGTTTGAAACGGTGCTGCGGTGGATCAACCACCTGCCGGACCACAGACAGGCTCACCTCAGCTGGCTGCTGCCAAAGGTAGCTAAAATAACTGAAGGCCGCACTACTTCAGCACACATTCAGCTTTTTTAAACGTTATACGAAAAGGTCATGTGGCTCAGGACATTACAGCGATGACTCTTTTGTTGTTTTTCACATAATTAACTTTAACATTTTTGTACCCATTGAAATGAATTAAATCTTTTATAAACCTGCTTGTTGAAAACTGCTTCGTATACACGCTTCAGTCGAGCTTTGGTTTGACTAACTGTAGCTTTTGTTCTGGTTTTACCTTGAACAACTGAGCTTCAGCTTGTTTTGAAACACGTCAGCAGCGTTTTCACCTCTCAACGTTCTTTTAGCAGCTTTCGTCTTTTGTCTTACATTCTGTAAACTGTGCCCTGTTTGAACCTGTCAAATGTCAAAATGTTCAGCTCGTGCGGGACATCTCAGCTCTGCCTTTTTTTAACATTTACGCTTTTCAAATTATTGAACGTTATAAAAAATAAAAAAATCCCTATTGAAATACAGTAGTCCCTCGTTTATCGCGGGGGATCCGTACCCTGAAGCGCCGCGATAAGTGAAAAATTACGAAGTAGTAATAGTAGCACAAGTAGTAAGTAGTTGTTTATTTTAGTATATATATATATATATATACACATATATATATATATATATGTATATATATATAAAATATATATATGTATATACAT